GGGGGGCATATGTTGGATATTTAAGTAGCAAAGATATTTTTCTTCTTTCCTGTACCATGTTGAGTAGGAAGCTGATCCACATTATATGATATAAAGGAAGTCTTAATGTAAATAGGAAATAGTTTTAATGTTTTGTCAGGGATGACAACAAAAAAATAAATGATATGAACAAGGCCAAGTCAATGAACTGAGTGAAAGAAGGTCCTAAAGTCTGATAAAAGAAACAACAAAAGAGAGAAAATGACCAAAACAAACAAGGGTGCAAGGTGTCAAAGTGGACAGAAAATAAACACTATAAATAAAAGACTTTTACCTCCTCCTTTTTATTTTTACACCATTTATCTGTAATGCTGTCTGCAAATCTGAAAAGCTTAAAGACACACAAATGGTCTAATGGGGTGGAACAAACTGGGCAACTGTCCCATAACAAACACACCTCACCTCACCTCCTGACATTTGGGCTTAAAGTAATTTTCTGGGAATCCCTCATGCATTCACTGGGGAGAGAGCTTCTCTTTCCTTACAACAGCAGCAGCAAGGAATTCCAAGGTCAGTCTGCTGAAAGGTCACAGTCGTTCGTGTTTTCAAGTTTTGGCAGCATTACATCAGAGTTTCACAAGCTGCCTCTTGACAGACAATTGATAGAAACATCATCGCAATAGTACTATGTATTATTGACATTTCTGCTAACTCTGTGCTTGCTTCCTCCAAGACCTGCTGCCGCAGTGGGGAAAGATTACATAGCCTAGCAGTAGCAGTAGTCACATTTACCATCTACATCTGCTTTGTTTTTTCATTCTTGCATGCAAAGCCTGAATGTTCCTAACTCACAATTACTCCAGTTTGTGAAAGCCTAATCACAGAGCTACAGAAACCCAGTGCTGTGACAATACAGGCCAAAGAACCCCCTAAACTGAAACTTCCGTTCGTCAATACCAGTAGCAACATAGTCACACAGGGTTGTGCTCTTTTTCCTATTTAATACAGGCAGCAGTTCATTCAGGGTTCATTCAAGATTTTCTTTTAGAAAATGGAATGCAAAAGTCATGGGCCTCTGCTGGAGCATCTGGTGGAAAGTTGAAAAAAGACACTTCAGGGATGAGCTGTATGAATGCAGGGGGCCTGAAAAGGTAAGATGGCTGACAGACACAGAGAAGCTGAGCCGGGCAACGTTAAGATAGTAATATAATGGTCAGGAAAAGGAGGTTAATGTCTTTCCCCATCCAAAAGAAAAAAAAACCCAACAGGTTACACAACATGAAGCTGTTACAGTGCTCAACAGCAACTGAGGCTGTAAACACACACTGTTCTCTGTCATTCAGCTGACTCAGGGTAAAATCTGCCAGAATGAGGCTGGCTGTCATCTTGACCGTCAGCTGTGGGGCATTACCCATTTAATCCACCCCACCGACAAAACACATATGTGAAAGAGCACCTTGGCGAAGGTGTGTTCAGCAGTATACATGCTACATGCAAGTTTGCAGACACATACAATGTGAGGTAAACCATGCACGAGCATTTACGCTTCTGACATATAAATACAAACATAAACACAAGCAAATATACTCCGGCTATAAGGTCAACAACATTATGTTCTTGTATTTACCTAAGTATAAACAGCCATCACTCTTAATAGAGTGCACGTGTTATCTCTCTCTTGAGCACAGGCAGCAAAATACATTAACATTCTTCTTTCCTTTAATTGCTGACTCTCCTTAATCCTTAATTAAATACGCTGGCATTGGCATGCTTTACTTAGACACCAGAGGTGAAATCACCCTAAAAGATTTTTCCAAACAGGAAATTGCAGCCTTGTGAAATATTAATTCCTGCTTCTTAACAAGTTCATATGTGTTTGTGTTTTTAAAATGGGAAACCATCATAGAGAGGAAGTGATTAATCCGTCTTATGGGATAATAATCTCCATTAATTTCAAATAAAGTGTTCTTATTTCTGGTGCCAGTGACACAACCATGTACTCACTGCTACAGAACAATAGCCACACTTGCAACACTAAATCATAAATATGTTCCTAAAAGTTAAAGCAGCATGTTATTCTACAAGATTTGTATCATAGTATCAAATATTACCACATGATTTTTTAGGTGTAGTTGTTATTCATTTTGCTGTACTCGTGTGCATTTGACTATTCTATTCCTTTTCTATCAATTATAAAGTTCAAGAAGACTTTGCCAAATAAGATTTCAAAGTAATACTGTAGATAGGTTATTTGGGGAGCAAGTACTACTTCTAACCTGGATAAGTTAAATATTTCAGTTTCCTGTCAGGTATTTTCTGAGTAATGAATTAAAGACTCAGAAGTGTCAACATGAAAATATCATATTTTGTGTCGGTGCCTGTTTTCAAAGTCTCTCCTTCCGGTAATCATCTGGATTCAACTGAAAGCTTTTACAGTAAGTCTGCATGCTGAACATTTCAAGCTTCTTCTGTTTTTCCATCCTGACATTTCTTTCTGTTCCTTATGACAATGCCTACCTATGTATCTCCCTTTACATTTCTTCTCCCTCCTTTCTTCCTTAACCTAAATCTTTTCCCCTGCATC